AAGTTTCCTAGAGCAGACGAATTCTTGTCATCTCCCATCACTGGTTACAGTATTGCACGCTAAGCTGTAAACAACCCGCATGCGCGAGTGCGCGGGGCATGTCTGGCATCACTGCTTACGGTCTCTCGTGATTGGGCAATTCGCTTACTGATTACGTTTTATGGTCTTACGTTTTTGTATGTGCCATGGGCTTAAGATTAGATTCGTTACTAGCCTTACGGTCTCTTACCTTACGTAAGACGTAATCAGTAAGCGAATTGGCCAATCACAGTAAAGACGGTAATACAGCGAATCCAATGTTACGATTTCCTTACTGATTACATCTTACGGTCTTACATTTTTCTATGTGCTCCCGACTTGACATTGTTGAAGTAATAAGTCCATAAGTTCGTCCATAAATCTATGGCTGCGTTCCCATTTCGTTTCAGTGCAATATCTAGTAGCCATTATTTTGCTGGAGAAGCGTTTGCAATTGTACTGAAGAAATGTTCTCAAATGACTGGACACTGGCTAGTGACGTTATACATTGCAGCTTTGCACGCGTATTGACTCATAATCTAAAACCTAAAAAAAAATCTGAGAGAGGACATAATAGTCCTTGTAATATCGATTTATCATCTCCAACCTTGAAAAGTAGACGATGTAGCTTAAGAAAAGGACGTTGCTATGTAATTTACATCCACTTTGTCGAAGGACAGTAGTGCGCGGCAGCATTTTGCGGTTATAGGTTTTGGGCCGTCATGTCTTTTCTCAGGTTTCTTTCTACTAAAATGGTTCAATTGTGAATTTTGAAAGATGAAAATTAGTAGTGAGCAAAGGTTACTAGGTATTGACCAATTAAATTATGAATACTCTAGTGAATTTGTTCACTTTTGTAATTTTTCCTTATTTAAAGAAAATCTAAATTTACACAATCGATCTCCTGATAAACAAGATACGATGTTAATAGTAAAATAAAATATGTAAATAGTAAAAAAATACATAAAGTGACTAGAAATTGATGTTCAAATGAAAGGTATGATTGGTCGGCGCAAATTATGCATGTGACGGCACCTTAAAGGGCTATCTACATAAATCGCAAACGCAAAACGCAGTTTGCAGACGCATTTGCGACAGCCAATCAGAAGCGTCAATGGTACTAATAACAGCTTTTCATTAGCTGTCGCAAATGCGTCTGCGAACTGCGTTCTGCGTGTGCGACTTATGTAGACAACCCTTAAGAGTTAAGCCATGAAGTGTTCTACCCGCGTGATTGGTCAGCGCCATGTCTGGGACCGTGCGATGATTAGTGAAAACGTGAGTTTGTATAATGTACTCTGTACGTGTGAGTTGTGTAAAATGACATTCTAACAATAGCGTCTTTCCGGTCTTATGTCTTAACTCTTACTAGAGGAACTCTACTTTTGACCACGCTTTTTGACGACCTCGTCTATATAAGACCTGTTCTTTTTGATTGAATTCTTGCATCAATTCATTTATCTTCCTCTTCTTTCCTGCGGGAGAGATAAACTGGTGCAAAAGTTCAGTCAAAAAGAACAGGTCTATAGATACCCCGGATGTAGGATACCAAATAGCGACTTTCGGCTAATTGGCGTCACTTTCTTTAAACCCACTTTACGTGTACATGTGTTTCCGCCACTGCGGCCGCCCTGATCCGCCCGGTCTACCGCCAAATGCTTTCGGCACATCAGCGCGATGTTCGTCGCGCCCAATATGCGATATCCAATAAGTGTACAGCTTTACCGATATTCCCATTTTAAAGGTATACTGACATTGGATATCACGTGTCGCGCGCGACTAACATCGCGCTGGTGTGCCAGAGCCAAAAAACGTCAACCAAATGCAAGCGCGCGGCATGATATGACTGCCTAGAGTGCGTTCCGATATTAACTGCCAGTGCTGAAAATCTATAACGCACATGATGTATACTGTATAGCCTGCGGCCAATTTGGACGCTCACGCGCAAGCGCTTGTAATCATTATTCTGTCTTTATCATTTATTAGACATAAAATAAGAATAGAAGTACTGAAAAGTGCTGAAAGCGTCCAAATCGACAGCCATAGTTTCAGTATTAGCAGTGAATTTCGAAACGCATCCCTTGAGCCTCTATAAGGGACTCCCTTATAGGGACTACGACTACCTAGCGCAAAGACTGCGGATAGATATTTTCTTTCGCAATTGATATGTTGCCAAGAGGCTCTATTCTTGAACAAATAACGCATATGAAAATAACAATTCCGTATACAATCGACCAATCACAATCGAGAAACTGTCATTTTTATATGTGAAAATTATTCATATGTGCTCAAGAATAGAACCCCATGCCACTTGTAATAAACAACTTCCCGCATGTTTAGCAATCTATGACGGTAGGCGCCTGTGCGGTCCTCTCTTGTCACGCGCCTGTATTTAGCGGTAAACTGTGCTATTTAGTGTCTTTAAGTTAATATATTAACTATTGTGAGAAAATTGCAAAATAGATTTAACAACTGAGTTTAATTTGCTCACGAAGTAATCCCGTAAATCTGAGACACTTTGTAATTTCATCTCTATCTTCATAAGTCTTTTATTTGATTGGAAATAACATATCATGTATCCAATGTAGCATATGCAGGGAGTTAAAATAATAAGAAAGTTTTAACACAATCTTAGATTATTAGATTTATTCAAATATCTTAACAAAATTATCTACTCCTATAAATACAGCAGTATAGTTATAGCAAATTGCAATTTGGTTTTACTTTTCTTTATTCTCAACTTCTTTATACTTTCAAATCGATGTAATTATAGCCAATCGTTCCAGCTATTTTTATTTTAATCTCGCTGCACAATAAATGCAATAATTTATCCTGTGGCAAAATGTGACGCGATAGTAAAACAATCACTTGCTTTTCCGGAAAATATATCTTCCATCCCCCTGAGGAAAAAAGATAAACTCGATCAATTCAACTTTTGCCATGCGGCATCTAATGTGCAAGGCTATGTTCAAAAATTTTACCCGGGAGTACTTAGATTTTATATTTATTTAACATTTGGTAAATAAAGATAAAATGATATACTAAATTTTTTAATGTATCTTAGGAGCCATTACAGTCTTTCACATTTACTATAACATCGCATTTCAAATTAGTATCGTTAAATAGTATCCTCAACTATATAATCGTATTTTTTTCTTTACATTTTCGCACTTAAATATAATCTATATCGCATTAGTGAAGGAATTTTATCGTTTTAAGGAATCAAAAGGAATCTGAGCACTTGATATTTTTATCGTAATCGATATCTATTAAATCCATGCACATTTTTTTTAATCTCGCTAAAATGATAATCATTTTAGTAATACTCGAGCAGCCAGTCTTCATGCTGCATCTGTAGTATTTATCGCAATAATCATATTTCTTTACATCGCTGTTTATACATAGGGACGGCTCGCCGTAGCCCTCATCTCGAACAATATTAGGGAGACACTAGAACATAGGCAGTAGAACAGGGATTGGAAGAGTTATTTTTACCGTTTTTTAAATATTTTTTTATAATAATAATTTAATAATGATGTTGTAATTTTTTATAAATATATCATGATAATTAACTATATAAATATTGAGGTTGCGCTAAAGATTAAAAAGTCATTTTGAAAAGTAACTTGTCACCATTACGCGTTATTTACTGCGAAAAAAGTAATAAGTAACTTGTAATGCATATCAACGAATTACGTTTTAGTGACAAATAAAGTATGTAATTATTTATAAATAAAAAATTTTTTTTTCAGTAATGAGTGACCTTTCCAACTCTGATGTTACCATTACCGTCATAAAAAATTCAACAACATTATTATTAAATTATTACTATAAAATAACGATGTTGTTATAAAGTAACGGTGTTATTATATATATTTATTATATATATTTATATATATTTATCATATATTTATTATATATTTATTATAACAAAGCAACAATAAAAAATAAGAGTGTTACAAATAACGCGTGTACTTTCCTTTCCTGCAGTATAACCAACATTAACAAGCCTCAATCATATATATGTATATTTTATTATAATAAAAGATATCGTTAGATCTATTACAGTAAAGAAAATAAAAAATAATGGTAGAAAATCGATATATAAAGAAAGAAAAGAAGTAAACCAAAAGGATAAAAAAATTTTAATCACAATAATATTAAAATTAATATCAAATCGAGAATATATGAATTATATCACATAAATATTGGAGTTCATAATCAATCTGAAAATTTTTTTCTGTAATTTTATAGATTAAGAGATAAATATCATTATTTTATTATTATTTAGTAAAATACTATTTT